GGTTTTAAGGCATCCTAGTTTACAATAGAATGCATGAACTCAGATTATAAAATAAGTTTAGACTAAAATTCTCGCAATCGATAGTGACAGATCATACAAGACGTCATAAGATGATCTCCATAACCCCTAGTCCCTAATGGACTACTCATTCATAATGAAGGCAAACATAATCGAATTGGTATTTAACATCATATTCATATCAAATAACTATAACAGGTGAATAATCAAAGAAGAATAAATAAGAAAACATGAATTAAGATTAAGTTTTGACACATCATTGCTCCTTGAAGACATAATTACAAAGAAAAAGAAAACTAAGTATATGCATAAACTTTCTGGAATAAAATCTAGATCCTAAAACTTATAACATGCTATGACTTTTATAGAAAAAGGTAAAATTGCACAAAATCCTTGATTTAACCACTATTTAATCAATTTTTCATCATATTAAATATTGCCTAAGAAAACAAAACAAATCTTCATCGCCCTCCTGCTATGGCCCGTAGCAGTAGTCACGGGTGGCCGTAATAGGCCATTGTATTTTGTATTGGAAAGGATTTCAAGGGGAACTCTAGGGTGCTTTGCTGTTATGGCCCGTAGAAGCCCTCTAGTTTTACCATGAAAAAAAATTCTTTTGTTGTTTTGCTTGTTTTTGACCCCTTTTGGTCTTGGATGCTCATTAGACTCCGTAAATAGTTAAAACACATAAATAAAAGCATAAAACATGACAATTAGAAGTGAACGGAATAAAATGCGATAAAATACTCAGAGAAAAAGACTAAAAATTTGTATGCGAAAAACGCTCATCATTAGACAAATCTCATGGTTCTCTTGTGCGTTGAGCTAAAACTATTTGATATCTTAGCATTCCTCTCTAAATCTCTTATGTTTTGGAGACTTTTTTAACAAGGTTGTTGCTTATAATATTCCTAGGGATAGAGAATGTTAGTTGGTTTCTACGTGTGATTTATGCTATTAAGATATCAATTGTAGTGCTCTCCTACTATTTTTTTCTCGTATGTTTTCTTAAAGATATCTAACACTTGCTTAGTGGCTTGCTTAAGCTTAATTTGACTTAGTTCTACTAACCAAGCTCTTAAATATTGTAACAAACGATGGCCCAAACAATTCAAATATGTGGTTCTTACTTGCATTATTGATATTATAAATATGTTTTAATCCTGCAAAAATATAGGAGAATTTCCTATTGCACCCTAGATGTTTCTAATGTACTACATGAATTTTCACATAGGCCATTTGATTCCAAAGATACATTTTCGGGTGCACATATTTCTGAACAAACGTTGGCATATTTCAAAGATATATCTCCGGAACAATTTTAAACATTCAAAACATACCACTCAGTAGCCATTTACATATGAATTATTAATATTACGGAGATACATCTCTGAAGTGTATCAGAACAGGTGTTTTTTGCTATAAGTTGTGTATTTGTTTTCAGATGAAGTATGAAGAACGATCTCAAATAATAAAAAAAATAGACGTACAAAATAATAAAAGACTAATAATGGATGTGCCAAAAATAATATAGCAATATATGTAGAAAATGGCGTACAATTGAGATCCAAAATGTAATAAAACTGTAAAAATAAAGCAGAGAGTATAATACTACAACAAAATAATAATAAACTGCTAATGTGTGTTTCTGACAACATCTCCTATACCTCCTCTGTCTACAATGCCTTTTAGGCCATCAATCCCCCCGTCCTTCAGTGATGTCTCTGCTACAACAGTGCCCCATATGCCTTCGTCATGATGGCATCCAGGATTCGTCTGACAGCAGATCCATCAGGAAAGATACCCTCGTCAATGCATGTCCCCGTAATTTTCATTATGCGATGACACCTAGGCAAGACATCATCAATATGATCTAGCCGAACCTGCTCCTCCTCTAGTATCTTCTGATGAGCTGGTCTCGGCAGATCTCTTAGAGCAGTCTGCACCATGTACGAGTGTAACACCCTGAAGAATCATATGATGTACTCCTCGATGTGGCTCCAGTCGTTCGGTGTTATGGTAGCTTATGCCTCCTCCGGTATCAAATAAGCCAGGCAAGCCTCCCCTAGTTGTACTCATGAACTTGAGTGAGATCCAAGAAGTATCGAAGGTATGCAACGTCGGTATAAGTGGCACTCGTGTCCATAAAAATGCAAGTGTCAACCAAAAAACGAAAGTATGCCCTTAAAGCACGAGTCATGTGTATCGTCACCTGCTCATCATCACATGTGGCCTGCTATGCTCTCAAGATCTCATCTATGTATACCTTCTTCAAGAACTCAAACCTAGCATGAGCAACGCACCATTGATTCTATCCGCCTCCTACATTGCCTACTATAGATTCAATCCCCAGATGATCTACCATCATCTCGACTGCCTCGTCTTTGGTCATCCTCCCATGATTGAGAAATATCCCCTTATTAGAAGATGTAACAAACACGAGACATCGTCTAGTGTGATAAACATCTCACCATGCAGAAGATGAAATGAAGAGGTCTCATAGTGTCATCTTTCCACAAATACATTAAGCATCTCGTGGTTGACTAGAGTAACCGGTCATCCATAGGTTCTCCAGGCCAAATAAGGACATAACCGTCTGAAACCAATCCTCATTCGGTTGAGGCAAGCCAACAATCTTTCTCTCATGGTTAAGAAACTTATGGGAATCACGCTCCTAAAATTATCCATAAATAATCAATGTCAGTAATAATATATGTAAAAAAAACCAATGCCAGCTATTAAAGTTAACGCATAAAAAATCAAATGTCAAACTAATGTTACCTCTCCGTCTCATATATGTCTGACAGTATAGTCTGAATATAGAGGAAGTAAGGAAAAATCATATGGACCTTTTCCAAAACCCTCTGAATCGGCATCCATAGCAGCCTCACCCTCCGGAGGTTGAACTGGATCAGCAGGATCATCAATGAGAGGTGTCACTGGATCCGTAAGAGGTGACACTGGTGAATCCTGACGCTTGCGGAAGGATGGGGAAAGTAACGCGTCAAATGGTGAATCTCGTCTTTTAAGGGAAGAAGAAGAAGAAAGTGGAGTGCCCTAAGATGGAGTGGTCTGAGGTGAAGCACGATCTCCAGAAGTAGACAACGTTCCAAAAGTCGACGCCTCTGCCTTACTAGAGGTACCTGCTGCCTCTGGAACCTGATGACTTTGTTCTCGTCGAACGGATGCGTGCTAAGCAACCCTGCCATGACTTAGTTTGTCGACTCTGTCAGCCATTATACGTGTAAGGTAAAGTAAGGCATATATATATATATATATATATATATATATATATATATATATATATATATATATATATATATATATATATATATATATATATATATATATATATATATATATATATATATATATATATATATATTTAGACACACACACACACTACAAGAAATTCCGGAAATGCATCTCCAAAAACACTATAAAACTATTAACTTTGAAGAGTTTCAGAGATGTATCTCCGAAAATTCTCAGAGTATATGAAACGCTGAACAACTCCAGAGATGCATCTCCGAAATGTTCTGCAACACAGAGGTCGCGTTAATGGCGAAATATACTTTTTGCAAGTTAAAAATAATTATTTGATCGTTATTTTGAACCAACAAATAAGTCATACACTAAGTCGAAACTATGTTACATGTATTTCCTACACATTTACAATAAAACTCGAATGTTTATCGAAAACGCGAAAAACTTACTTGAAATTTATGGTTTTGATGATATTGGACGATGTTATAGATGATGCTTAATGTTCTTTGAATTCCTTTGAGCTTTGTTTGATAAAAATTGATTTGGTAAAGTTGAGGTGTATTGAGAAGGAGAAGAGTTGAGTCTGAGTAAAAGTGAGAAATGAAAAAAGAGAAGAGTTTGATGCAATTTGTACTCCAAAATATTTCAGAGATATATCTCCAAATCACTTCAATATTCAGTGAACTTTAGATGCGTCCAAAAATATATCTCCAAAATTAGATGACATTTACTAAACTTTACAATGGTACAATAGAAATACAGAGTGCTATACGAAATTTTCAAATTGAGCCAGGTTTAATAAAAAAATCCCTCAATTCATGTTGCTATCAACAAAATAAGTGATGTTTATTGACCGAAAATAGTACAAATTCCTCCTTTATTGAAAAACTTCAAATTCACAAAATTTTCAAGATTAAGATGCATGCTCTTAATTCTGCTAGAATCAAGAAAGACTTCTAACATCCTCTTAAAGCTTATTGATTATCTTAATTCTCCCATAATCAAGAAAGTCTTCTAGCATCCTCTTAAAACTTATTGAATATATATATATATATATATATATATATATATATATATATATATATATATATATATATATATATACACATATATATATATATATATACATATATATATATATATATATATATATATATATATATATATATACATATATATATATATATATATATATATATATATATATATATATATATATATATATATATATATATATATATATATATATATATATATATATATATATATATATATATATATATACACACTCTCAACTAGCCAGAATAACTTTCAATAACCATTACATTGTTTATTTAAATTTAAGAAACAAATGAAAGACCTTTTAGTTGACTTCACATGTGCCTTTTATCATGTTTCACATGTATAAAAAATGAAACAATTATGCTGACATGTTAGATAATCTAAAGTTATCTTTGACATGCTATCATTGATGGTAGACAATTCTCCGTTATATTATCTATACTTTTACTAAAAGAAAGGACTTTGCTCTTAACAAGCTGCAGCAATACACTTAACAACAATATAATCATCTCTAGTAGAATGCATGTATGTCCCTGGGATGTGTCAATTTGTTAGCAAACACTTAGCAACTTAAATATTTAGTTATGCCCACAAGAGCACCCCGGGGAGCTCGGCACGTATCATCAAATGAGGAGACAAACATCCTTTGCATTTTATTTCCTAGCCTGCAACATATGAGACATCAGTATTTACGATTACAATTAAATGATGAAAGACCACATAATAATGAGTAATGACTATGTGAACAGAAGGCCATGACCCAATAACAAGTCAATATAAAACCTCCAAAATGAACTAAGCAAGTGCAGTTGAGTAGGTTGGAGGCTTGTTACCGTTCTTATAGCATTTTTAGTTTTCACCACTCAATCCTTCTAATCCATCATCCATAAATGCAGAATTAAGAAGGGCATAACTCGAGATGATAAAGTGCCTCCTCATTAGATCTATGAAACACAGATTCCGACACGGACACCGGGACACGACACAACACGGACACAGGGACACAATACGACACGACACTCTGACACCGATAATGTTAAAACATAGGACACCGACACCGCTATATATAAGAGTATTTAAGCTTTATTTATCCATCTATGATTAAATAAGTTGAAAATATTCTAATCAAAATTAATGTCTTTAATAATACACGGTTAACAATTTTAAATTTGTGTGAGATTTGTCCAAAATATGTATAAAAGTGTTGAAGCAAAGAAAAAAACAATTTTTTGTTTAAAACACTCGTCTGAATTGTCAAACATGTGTTATGAGTGTCGTATGAGTGTTAACCATTGATTCGAAAAGTGTCGAAACGAAGAAAAAAATCATTTCTTTAGTGGACACTTGTCTGACTTTTCCGACACTTGTCGTACGGGTGTCATACAAGTGTCGGAGACCGTGACACGCCTACTCCTAGAGGTGTCCGTGCTTCGTAGCATTAGATAAAGCCTCCATTTACACACCACTGCCAGACTACTGGCACTGCATCAGTCCAGCACTATAGCCATTTGCCATTTTTCATAAAGTGTTAATACTTTATAGTTGTGCTCTACCTGACATTGGTTAGTTAAGGAATGCGAGTGGAGGTCCCTATTGCAGCAGCATAGCTCCCAAGAGCTTCTTGAAACATCAGTTTCAAACAATAAAAGTAACGATCAAACCGAGGACTCCTAAGACAGACAGTGAAGTTATAGCTTTGATGCTTGGTAAACGGGTTTGGTTTGTTTAGACCATTAGAAGTTATCTCCTACAGCATTTCAGTACGCAGTTTGGTAATCAGTTGCTGCCATCAAGAATGCAAGCAAAGGAATTCCATATACATTCACTATCTATTGCTTCAGCTACCTACAGCTGATACCTCCTATTAAGTTGCTATTAACTTCCCGGCCCCGTTTGCTTATTTATTCTCCACTCTTCCTAAAATATACCCTCTTCACGACAGAATGCTTATCGAAGTACAATAGACAGAACAGCAACTGAAAAATATATAAATCCCAGAGTGGTGATTTTAAACTTTTATCTTGGTATCAAAACAGAAAATAAAATTTAACAAATACAACATATGATAATCCATACCTTCAAACGTGGAGACTGGCGAACAGATGAAGCAGAATCAGGAGATAAAAGGGCTAAACTTTTCCTTCCGCGAAGTTTTTTTTTCTTTAATTGTGCACTACCATCAGAGAGTTCCACTTGATGCTCATTTTCTGTGGTGGTAGAATCACCTCTAATGGATGTATCAGGAGCAGATGTAGCAGAATCAGGAGATAAAAGGGCTAAACTTGTCCTTCCGCGAAGTTTTTTTTTCTTTAATTGTGCACTACCATCAGAGAGTTCCACTTGATGCTCATTTTCTGTGGTGGTAGAATCACCTCTAATGGATGTATCAGGAGCAGATGTAGAGATAAAGGCAGATTCTCCAGGTTCAACTGTTGAAACAGAATCAGGAGATAAAAGTGCTAAATTTTTCCTTCCGTGACGTTTTTTTTTCTTTAATTGTGCACTACCATCAGAGAGTTCCCCTTGATGCTCATTTTCTATGGTTGTAGAATCACCTCTAATGGATGTATCAGGAGCAGATGTAGAGATAAGGGCAGATTCTCCAGGTTCAACTGTTGTTAGAACTAAGTTCCCTGTATAATAGCAATTAAAGAAAGTTACATTCATTATAATCATCGTATTTATCTATTTTCCAAAAGCAAACCAGATTATCCATTCTAGAACCATGATTGAATAATTCATACCTTGCACCAATGTTTCTTGAAATTTTTTCCGCATTGCTTTTACAAACTCAAACAGACCATTTGTCTTGTTTAATTCAAGAACCAACTCTTCAATACCATCGAGGGGAGGTTCACAACTTAACACTGAAAGATAAAAAAACATCGTTAGATTTTTCAAGAGGTGTATCAGCAAACTCTGAAAATTGCATACAAAATGACATATGTTTGATGCTTACATGTGTAAGTATTTTTATCATGGGAGACGATAAAAGTGTACTCTTCGTTTGGATTCTTTACATTTATATTCTTGAATGTGAACTTTACCCCTGAAGAAAAGAACTAATAAAGGATATCAATTATGAAAAAGAACAAAAAGAAACCTAAGCAAAAAATTTATTTGTGAATTACCACGTCCCCCTTTGACATGAAAACCAAGCACTCTGTTATACCAAGAGATGGCTTCCCGTGTTTCATTTGTATACTCAATGCTCTCATTTAACTTCGCCTCGGATGCGGTCAAAGCTTCGTATGAATGAAAAGAGAAGAGAGGGAAGGTGAGAGGATGACTTATAATAGTACATAATATTTTTCCTAATGCTAACTTAAAGTTTAGTAAGTAGAACAAATCAAATAAAACATATAATAGGGAAAAGACCAAAAAAAACTTAGTTCCGATTCGTGTTCTGTAAAAAGCAATTAACGAAGAACATTTGAGTAATTACAAACCCATTGTTAGAAAACATCCTTCAAATTTTATTTTATAACAAACTTAAAATCTTCAAAACTGATTTTACAAGTTGCTTGATAACGCCTGTCTTAATAGTTCTTTGCTTCCAAGAAAAAATAAAAAACACCAATTTATGTTGAAGTAACTATTATAAATAATGTTAGCAATCTAGACATGAAAATAACGGATTATATGTAATCTCAAAGCTTACGTAAGATGTCAGTATTTTATCATATATTGTGTGCACAATTTCTAATAGATCAAGCAATCCTCAAATATATGCTCTGTAAACAAATAAACATATAGAACTGAAAAAAACACAAGCCACAACCTTTTCCAATTGTAATGACGACAGCTAGGTAAAGAAAAAATAACTAAGTCTTTCACCTTTCCACATACAACAACACCTATCCACATTCAGTAACTAAATAGTTCTATGAATGTATAAAAGCACCAAGCATGTGAGTGAGTCCTGATTAACATAACATAATCAAATAGCTAGGAATATCCACCCACATATGAAGAAAAAGAGGTGAATTACCAAGAGATTGTTCAGATAGAAGTGCCGTATACTCTTGTTTCCTGGCACGAACCTCTTGGATACTTGTGTCGAGGTTTCCAACTCTGGCCTTCGCAGACGCAATAGCATTCATCAAGGACATTCTTTTGGCCTCTTTGCGTGTCTTTTCTACACATCAAAAACAAAACCACACAAATTTTCCATCATTTGAAACACATGAAAGCTAAAAACGAAAACTTTAAGACGAAAACACAGTAAAGTTTAAGTAACCTGCGAGTATTTCAACCAATTCATCCTCCACTTCCTTCAGTTTGTATTTAACATCGTGTAGTTGAACTGAGAGACAAAACGAGAGAGCAAAAATGAAAACCCTAAAACGAAAAGAGTAATGCGAGAGTTGAAGTAGAAACCCTAAACAATGTGAGTGAATGGAAGAGAAGTAGAGAATAAAAACCTTGATTTTGAGAAGTTTGTTGCGATTTGGAGATGATGAATTGGAAGGATTCAGATACATAATCCGTGTCAGCATCGATTTTCTGCAGTTTGTGAGCGATATGAGCGTCGAAGTTTGAAGTTGAGGTATCCATGTTTCTTGGCGAGATACGAGCAAAGAGATTTGGGTATCCGAGAGCACAGATTCGGGAGAGAGCGGGTTAACGGTAAAAAAAACACTAGGAATAAAATGCTTTTGGTTTGGGAGAGAGCGAGCAAAGAGATTCTATCTATGATATCAGAAACAACATTTGAATCATCAATTTCCCGTAAATTTTTTGAGTTTTCGATAAATATTGGAGTTTTAGTATAAATGTGTAGAAATCAGTGATTAGGGATAAAAATGTGTTGAAATTACAATTAGCATAGTTTAGACTTAGTGTATGACTTTTTTGTTGGCAAAAAATGGCGATCAAATCATTTTTTTCACATTGCAAGAGGTACATTACGCCATTGTCGCGACCTCTGAGTTGCAAAATATTTTGGAGATACATCTCCAAAAATTTTCAGTGTTTCATATCATCTGGAGTATTTCGGAGATGCATCTCTAGAATTATTTAAATTAAATAGTTTTATGGTGTTTCCGGAGATACATCTCTGGAATTATTCAATGTTATTGTTTTATGGTGTTTTCGGATATACATCTCTGGAATTTCCTGCAGTCTATTTTTTAAAATTTCATGTTTGTGTTTGTTGTCTGCGTGCATTAATGATACGCCCTTACTTTATCTTACAAGCATTATGGCTGGTATAGTCGATAGATTGAGACATGGTCGGACTGCCCAACATGTATTTGTTCGGCAGGAGCGCGCCAACAGGTTCAAGAGGCAGCATGTACATCTGGTCAGGAAGAGGCATCGACTTCTGGGGTGCAGTCTACTCCTGGTGCTCGTCTTTCACCTCGTGTCACTTCATCTAAAGCCACTCCATCTTCCTCTTCTTCCCGTAGGAAACAAGATTCACCATCTGATGTGTCACTTCCCTCATCCTCCCACAGACGTCAGGACTCACTAGTTCCACCTCTTGCGGGTCCAGTGCCACCTCCCGCTAATGATCCTGTGCCAACTCTGAAGGGTCAGGATGTTGTGGATCCCGATCTAGAAGGTTTTGGAGGAGGTTCATATATGTCGTTACTTCTTCTGTATCCATACCACCCTGCCGGACATATTTGGGACGGAGAGGTAGCATTAGTTGGATTCTTTTTTTTAATATGTTAATTTTAATTTTAATTTCTGACAATGATTATTACCGACGTTGTTTATTTCTGGAAAATTTCAGGTGTGTGATCCCCAAAAATTTCTTAACCATAGAAGTAAGATTGTTGCATTGCTTAAACAGGAGAAGGATTGGTTTCAGAGTGTTCTTTTATTATCTGGCCTAAAGGACCTATGCATGAACGATTACACTCTGGTCAACCACAGAATACTTAATACATTCGTAGAGAGATGACATTCTTAGACCTCTTTGTTTCATCTTCTGCATGGTGATATGTTTATCACATTGGACGATGTCTCGTGTTTGTTACATCTTTCGATCAGTGAAAGTTCCTCGATCATGAGAGGATTACCAGAGACGAGGCAGTTGAGATGATGGTAGAGCATTTAAGGGTTGATCCAGAGAAGGAGATGAACGGTGTGGATAAGACCAGGGGGCTCATGTTAGATTTGAGTTCCTGGAGAAACTGTATGTGGACGTGATCAGTATGGCAGAGCAGGCATATGGTGATGTTAAGTAGTATGAAGTACACATGACGCATGCTTTGAGAGCATACTTTCTTTTTTTGGTTGGAACTTGTATTTTTGTGGACACGAGTGTCACCTATACTGACGTCGCATACCTCTGGTACTTCTTGGATCTCACTCAGATCCATAAGTACAACTGGGGGGCAACTTGCCTGGCCTGTCTATATTCGAAGTTGAGGGAGGATTGTCTATGGAAGATGAAGCAGGTCACAGGCAGCAAGACACTACTAGTGGTAATAATTCTTGATCCTTGAATGTTTTTTTTATCTTTTTGATTTCATATTTGTGAAACCGTTGCTGATAAATCTTGATCCCTAAATGCTCTTTTTTTTTATTTTCATTTCAGGCTTGGATTCTCCAGCACTTCCCGCGCATCTCTGGTTGGGCGAGTGTGGACGAGTACACCGAGGATATGCCACGTGCCCGTGCTTTTATCCCGCTGAAAAGGAACCAGTAGGCCGAGCTTTTTAAATTTTATCTTGACCGTTTGTTTGCTAAGGACAGCCACTTCAACAACTACGCGGATCACCTTCATACGCGACCATTTGACGACATATCACTATACTTTTGATGGTTGGCCTGCGAATCACATATTCTTGCTCCTCGTCTGCCCGAGCATCTCATGTAGCAGTTCGGGTACACGCAAACCATCCTCAAACACCATGTTGTCTCTGCTTCTCCTGTCGTTTTTCGTAGATAGATAGAGGAGATGTGTTAATTATAAGAGTCACCTGGTACCGGAGGAGGCTTGGGCTACCATAGCATCGAACAGCTGGAGTTACGTTGATGGGTACATCAGGTGGTCCTTCAGGGTCTTATATTCGTACATTGTGTAACACCCCCTTTCTATACCCCAAATAATTCAAATAATCATTTAGGCACATAATAAAAATTCCATCAGAGTATAATTAAAAACACGGTATAAAAGAGGCATGCCACATTATGCTTGAAATTAAAACATACAGCACCTGCTCAACATATGATATGCAACAGTGGGGTAACTTTTGCAACGTAGGAACTTAGTCCTTACACCCATATCTCAATATTTAGAATGAAAGCGGAAAATCTAAACATTGAATCACAACCAGCATGTATATACATATATACATATTCACATCATGCAATATAAGTCATCAACATCATTCATGTTTACATAAACATGCATCACCAAAAATACATATACAAATGTATCACCAAAAAGAGCCAAAGGCTTCCTAGCTACCCGGTGTTACGTATCAGAGTAATCTGACCAAAACAATGAAGACACACTTCACAAAAGGGATCACCAGCATACCTAATCTGCAATGCCTCAAGGGCACCATAAAACAGCAAAAGGGTGAGAAATATTATCATAATAATCAATGCATATATATATATATATATATATATATATATATATATATATATATATATATATATATATATATATATATATATATATATATATATATATATATATATATATATATATATATATATATATATATATATATATATATATATATATATATATATATATATATATATATATATATATATATATATATATATATATATATATATATATATATATATATATATATATATATATATATATATATATATATATATATATATATATATATATATATATATATATATATATATATATATATATATATATATATATATATATATATATATATATATATATATATATATATATATATATATATATATATATATATATATATATATATATATATATATATATATATATATATATATATATATATATATATACACACATATATCTATCACCAGACATTTCATCATGCACATTTCCACATATACATCATTCTACATAAACATACACATATTATGTTTATTTCATCACCATTCACATAAACATCTACATTCATGTTTATTTCACCAATTCGCAATTATAAAGATGATAAATTCACTCATAGAGACCGACTCACGACTCTATGCAGATGCAAACGCGGTACCGAATCAATCATCTCAAGTTCACTCAGGAACTTATTGGAACCATCACTCACACCCCTACATGGATACACAATCGTTCAGCAGATCCTCCTAGGGATCAAATATCATTCAGCAGATTCTCCTAGGAATCAAATATCATTCAGCAGATTCTCCTAGAAATCAATTACCATTCAGCAGATTCTCCTAGGAATCAATTACCATTCAGCAGATTCTCCTAGGAATCAATTACCATTCAGCTGATTCTCCTAGGAATCAATTACCATTCAACAGATTCTCCTAGGAATCAATTACCATTCAACAGATTCTCCTAGGAACCAATTACCATTCAGTAGATTCTCCTAGGAATCAATTACCATTCAGCAGATTCTCCTAGGAATCAATTATCACCAATCCCCTTTTTGGGATTATGGGTACATCGTTTGTACCCTACCAGGAATAACATCTCAGTTATTCTACCCCAGCGATCATTCCACTAGGAACGACACATTAGTCATTCTACCCCAGTGAGTACGACTATATCACTTATACCTCACTAGGAACAACATCTTGTTATTCTACCCCAGTGATTACGACTCTTGCACATATACATATTTTCAACATCATTCTCACATTTACCAAGCAATGCACATATATTCACAATATATTTCTCATGCATTCTATCGCATACAATCAATATGTATTCACAATATCGTGCCAAACGGCATTGAACCTCATCACAATTCATCATGCATTTTAATCAATTTAAACAATGCACATATACACGTAACTAAGCATATTCATCATTCATGCTTCTACAATTCACATTATATCATCACATGCAATCCATATGCATTCACAACAATTATGTCAAACGGCAACCGAACACTCTAATTATTTAAGCCTCAATTACTTAAAATAATTAATCTCGATTAATCGTTAAAATCGGCTAAAATTCGACTAAAAATAATATTTCTTTTCACCAAGTTATAAAACATATTATTAGCTTCAGTTTGATATAAAGAACGACAAAATCCGATAAACGGTGAAGAAGTTATGAATTTTCGAAGTTTTGAAAAATAATATTTTCTCACACTTACAGTGTTAATCGGTTAACGTATATGGTTAACCGGTTAACACCTCCAAAAACTTAGTTTTTAGGCCAAAAACTCAGTTTTTAGGCCCCCAACACTGGGTTAATCGGTTAACGTATATGGTTAACCGGTTAACACCTGAAAAACTCAGAAAAATAGCTACCGGTTTGCACCAAAAACCCTCAAAAAACCGACCGATTTAATTATTTTCTCCCGATTAAATACCTACTCATCATTACCAATCATATAGTAACAATTTGGGACCATAAAACGTAAATTCTACGACTTCCGATTTTC